GTTTAAAAACAACGCTGCAATTGTTATAGTTAAGGAAATTAAACTTACCATCATGAAATGTCTACACAGGCGATAATGCCAAAAAGAAAGAGGAACATTGGAAAATAAGCATATTTTATTCAAGACATTATTATATGACATCAACATGCATTTATCATTCTTACAATCACCGCCAGAATGTCCAACTTCACCATGATGAACTTAAAATTGGGTTCTGTTATTTTTCCTCAACAGTTCTCCTCACAAAACGAAATTCATTTCAAACACAAATTTGATAAGAACAGAGTGGAAATTATTAGCAACACCAAAATAACAGCAAAGCTTGATTTCTGTTAGTTTAAGCACAAACTAAGAAAAGTAAACCCAAACTTTGTGGCAATAATTAAGACCAAACTGAACATGGTGTGTGTTTATGGTGCGTGTCAGCAATGTTGTCTCGGCGGGGGCGGGCGTGGTGGAGGTGGAGGTGGAGGTGGGGCTTAGATGATATTATCGGATATCGCGATATTTTTAAAGACGATTATCGATAAGATATTTTTGACATATCGCCCAGCCCTAATTGCTAGTGGTTTAAGACTTGAACCCCACTTTATGTTTACAAATTATTTGTATTTATTCATTTATTTATTTATTTAAACCTGTAAATAAACATAAACCTTTTGGATTTTATTGAAATAAATAAATAAAAATTGATAATATTATGTGTAGCGAAATGTCTTAAAATGCTAAACAAAACCATCACTAGTGGTTTAAAACATTTGAACCCCACTTTATGTGTACAAAGTTTGTTTGTTTATTAATTAATTCATTCAAACATGTAAATAAACAAAAATGTTAGGATTTTATTTAAATAAATATAAAACGATAATATAGTTTGTAATTAAAAGTCTTAAAATGCCAAATAAAATCATCACCAATTGTTGTCTAAGACTTTTGATCCCACTTTATGTGTACAAATTTTATTTGTTTGTGTGTTGTTTGCAGTTGCATTATATGATGGTCACTAATAACTAACAGTCCCTAACAAAGATCTTTTTTATGGTTTTCTGTGTTTAGACCCTCCCAGTGTTTCAGATGGCAGAGATGTTGGCGTGACCCTGGGTCAGAGAGGTGTCCTGCAGTGTGAGGCAGGTGCTGTACCAGAGGCAGATTTTGAGTGGTACAGAGATGACAGGAGGTATGGCATACTATTATGAAGCGATATTCTGCCTCACCTGTTCCTTTCTTTGGGATAAAACCGTAGCCTTAATGTACGGTTAGTGGACACAATTTCTCAATTTCTTTTTTTTGACTAGATGTGTACAGTAGCAGCTAATTATTAACAAGAGTTTTCTGTATTTCCTGTATATCTGTCGGATCTATAATATTGGATTTGACATTGTGAAGTGAAGGACAAATATTTTTCAGTAGCTGTACACATCTGACTAGATGTGCTGTCATTCGTTCACTGTTTTTAACAGCTAAATACTTGAGTGCCTTTGGCTGGAATGTGTTTCAGTACATTCTCTCAAACTGTCTTTGATGTCAAGTGAAGAATAAGTTGTCACAATGTTGTATCATAATTAATGTGCATAAGTGCATGTGCGTGTCCCTCTGCGTGCCACTGCCAGTAATTCAATCCTGCATTTTTGCCTCCTTTTATTGTATCCAAGCCCACTGCAATCTGCGTCCGAAAATGTTGATGCTGTCATAAATGTAACCTCTAGCTTCAAAGGAAGCTCTGATGCACCGTAAACAAGGCCGGGCTGATTTAAGTCTCCCCATTTGCTGACTGTTTCCCAGGATCTTCAGTGACTTTGATGGCATTGAGATCGAGGATGCCGGAGCATTTTCAAAGCTGACTTTCTTCAACGTATCCGAGGCAGACTATGGCAATTACACCTGCGTCGCTATCAACAAAATGGGGCGCGCTAACACAAGCATCATCCTATACGGTAAGTTTCAGTGGTTGCTGGTTTCAGTCAAGTCTGTTTGGAGCCTCTTCACAATTCTTCGACTAGGTGAAGTAGTTAAAAAAAAATTTTTTCCTTAAACTTTTGTTCAAAAAAAGCCGAACGAAAGAACTTCCTGATAATGTTCCTGTAAACACTATGAATTTTTCCTTGGTGGTTTCTGACCCGTTCAACTATTAATCTTTGAGATTTTCATCTCAGGATTCTCCTTCATTTGCTTTTGATTGATGTTTTTGTGTTTGTTTTTGTTGATGTAGAAATAATCGAACCCACTAGTTCGACGCTATTGCAAGGTTAGTAAAGTGCATGGGAATGTGGCGTCCCGCTCACCTCCTAAAGCATGTTCCAGCATGTGTAATATGCAAAGAAGATGCAAACATGGTTATTTTCACATCAACCGCAACATGACAAGGCCAGGTCCTTGATACGGCACCCAAGTTTATCGGCGAGGGCGGCCCACAAAATTTGAACAGGGTAATATAATTGACGTGCCTTGTCTGACAGAATGTGACTGTCAAATTGTAAATTGGCCACTAGCTATTAAGAGGGTTATTAGCTTAAAATCCCATTTTGTAATGTCAATAATATATTCAGCACATTGAGTGACAATCTGAATTGGCGCTCTGGGATTGGCGGGGTACTGACATGCCTCAATCTGCCTTCAGTCACTGTGGGTTGATGAATAGGTCTCTGTTTTCTGTAGCCTAAACATCTTTCTCTTTCTCTTCTGTCACTTTCTTTCCTTTATAACCTTCCTCCACCATGGCATGGCTTCATTATGTTAATACATGCTCTCATCCGCTGTTTGTAAGTACATGCCTGCGTCTTATGATGTCTTTTGATGTTTGTTGAATTGTGTGCTTCATTATTACTCAGCTGATGAGAAATGTACTTAAAGGAAAATTGTCATCATTTACTCATACTTCCGTGGAACAGGAAAAAAATTAAATACTTTTTTTTAACCAATACAATTACGATGAACAGGGTCTAGACAAAATGGACAGAAAAGCACCATTAAAGTATAGTAAAAGTGGTTCATATGACTCATGCGCTGTAGTCCAAGACTTCTGAAGTTATACAATAGTTTGAGAGCAGTAGTGATGCCCGATTCATAAAAGAATCATTCTTTTGAGTTGGAAATTTTCGTGATTCAGAACACTTCAAAATACTTGAAATATAACACTTGAGTTTAATGGACTGCTTTTACTATACTTTTATGGTTCCTTTTTAAAGCCTAAAAGCTTCAATCCCCATTCATTACAGTAGCATGGACAAGAACGACCAGTGTATTATTCCGTTCCAAAGTCATACAGGTTTGGGTCGACATGACAGTGGGAAAACGATGACAAAATCTTTCATTTTTGACTGAGCTGTCACTTTAAATGTACATTTGCCCCTTACAAAAAAGTGCCATGGTCTTACCTGGACATAGTAACCATGGTAATACACAAAGGTCTATTGTACACTCTCAGAGAAAAAGGCACAAAAACTCTCACTGGGGCGGTACATTTTCAAAAGGTTTAAATATGTTAATTTTAGGTACAGTTTTACAAAGGTGTACCTTTTGAATAGGCAATGCCCCTGTGACAAATTTTGTACCTTTTTTTCTGAGAGTGTACATAAATCATACCACAGTACCACAGTATATATAATCTATATACCATTGTACTGCCACAGTAGGAGAGACCTCTGTCAATTTAACTTTTCAAATTTTACTCTCAGACTACTGCAATTTTTCTGTCTTTTGGTATAAAAACTGTGAATGTGCCAACCGTAATATTACCATTAATGCACTTACATAGAGAAAAAAACATTGAATTACAGACAAGGAGTCAGGTTAAAATTGGAGTTAATATACGTTTTATTGATGTATAGAAAATTGCAGTGCACACTTCAACCAGTAAATCTCAAATAGCTGCTTAACTCAAAGTAATGCCCTTGATTTAATATTTAATAAAATATTTTATAATTTTTATGGTAATGATTTTTGCATTTTATATAGTACATTGTTTTAGCTATGTTGAATAATATGTTTAAAAGCAAAGGTCAAACTGAGACGTACGATATTTGAAATATTTTTACTAAAATATACTGATTGTCTGCTAACTCAAGAACAACCTTCTATATAAAAGTAATGTTCACTACATATTTTAAAGATTTGTAGTTTTCTATTTACTCATACAGGTTTTCATAACTAAGGTTATTTTATCTCAGAGTTGAGATAAAACGTTGGGAAAATAAGCAAAATATTAGCATATGTTAACTTTTAACTTACAATCTGTCAATAAAATAACGTTTTTTTTTTTTTTTAATACATTCTCCTTTAAACCTCAAAATCGTTTTATTTTTCTGACAAACCAGTGCACTTTTTTTCATGCAGAGAGAGTCTTTACTGAACATATGCTGAATAAATATCATCACTCGAACTTGTTTGTGATTGAAAATGTATGTGTTATAATTGCCTCCGGTCTTTCCTACTTTTTTTGTAAGGGGTCGACCCACACCTCAGTATGTTGTTGTTGGTTGTTACTGATTTGTCCTTGCATTGTCCTTTTATCTTTCTTCTCTGCCAAGAATAGAAATCTTGTCCTGGTCAACTTTTCTCCACCGTCTGGCCTAAAAAAAATGTGTGGGATTGGTAACCATGTCCTCTCCGGAGAGTCATTAATTGCATTGAATTTGATTGTGAGAATCTCACATTAGTATAATTACACTTGTGAAGGATTTACTCTAAGCTGTGGCTGCAGAATAATTGGATAGCTGTCCCTAAAGAAAGCCTACCATACTCTCCTAAATCCAGGGGAAATTAAACTTCAGTCTAAAAGGCCCATCAAAGAGAAAGATTTAATAGACACCAATGCTAATACCATGACATAACATTTGTTTCGTTGGGACTGAATATATCTCTAATAATGATCGTTCACACCAAACATGAAGCGAAAAAGGCTAATCAAACGTCTGTTCCCACCAAGAGTGAAAAAAAAAGATTTGTTCATTTAAAACTTTATATATAATACTTTCCATCTGTTTGTGTATATGTATATACTGGGGGTTGCATGACTACTGTACTTTTACTAATTGACTAGTTGGCCAAAAAGTAGTAGACTAGTCTGTTGTGTTGTACATTAAATGACTCGCCACTTGCCATTCAGCCATCAGCCATCCAAATCTATCATGGCTAACAGCATGTCTACACTGTAGAAACCAAATAGACTGCTTCAATTTTAATCAGTGAAGTTGTCTACACTTCGTACAGCACAGCATTTTTTTTTTCAGTATAGGCATGCAATAACAAGAATATATCCCATGCAGCTAAGATGATGTGGGCAATATCTCCACTGCCAGACTCATGCTGCTTGTATTGTGATGAACGGTGTATAAAGACACCTCACACTCGCTTATAGTTTCTGTCAGCCTCTGGACAGCGTTCAGAGCAATGTGTGTGGGATTATGATGGAACATGATGCATAATTTACACAATCTGGAAGTGTTCTTCCCATATGATTTCTCCATAAGGATTTCAGAAAGTCAATCAAGAGTTCTAAGGCATTAATCAAACCAACCAGCTCTGAGATTAAATCAAAGTTGGTAATGACATGATTCAAGCAAAAAAAAATAATAATCTTTTGATTTTTGATCTAAGCAACACATGAAGATGTAATTAAATTAAAATATATGGTACAATTTATAATGAAATAGTCAATAGTTTTAAGTATAAAATTATATTATTGATTAAATCATGTATTGCAAAAAATGTTAAATATATAAATAAATAAAGAGTGTCTTTACACCATTCGCAATGCTTGATGGGAGTGGGTGGTTGTTAATAAACTCTTTTGCCATGGATCTCATTTCCATGGTACCCATAGGTCTCTGAAGGGTAGATCCAAGGAGGATCTGTGAGTAATTGTGAGTAATATAGTTCTTCATTGAGAATGTGGATATCCAACATGAAACATTTTTCAATTTTTGTTTATTTATTTTAAATGAAGCTGGAATCACACATACTTGTTGCCTTTACAGATACATATTTCACTACTTGGAGTGTATGGTAGGTCTGGCTTGAAATGATTATTGATTATATGTTAAAAATCAGTTTCTCTATGGAGAAAATGAATTGGATTTCTACTTCTGGAACCCAGCTGTTGCGTTCTATTGAACAAAAGCAGCTGAAGCCATGTGATCTGTGATTAGTTGACTCAGGACTCAGGATCTTGACTTGTCAGTGCAACCCTTAAATATAAATATACACACATATGGTATTTCAACATTGAACATGTCTGAACATTAGAATGTTAGTTGTTAGCTGATGACATATATATATATATATATATATATATATATTATAATATTTTGTTATAATAATTTTTGC